GAGACGGAGTCTCGCTCTGTTGCCCAGGCTGGATTGCAGTGGTGCGATCTCGGCTCACTGCAAGCTGCGCCTGCCGGGTTCACGCCATTCTCCTGCCTCAGCCTCCCGAGTAGCTGGGACTACAGGCACCTGCCACCATGCCCGGCTAATTTTTTGTATTTTTAGTAGAGACTGGGTTTCACCGTGTTAGCCAGGATGGTCTCGATCTCTTAACCTTGTGATCCACCCGCCTCGGCTTCCCAAAGTGCTGGGATTACAGGTGTGAGTCACCGTGCCTGGCCTTTTCCTCCTGTTTCTAATAAGCTACATCTTATTTCCATATGAGACCTCACCAGAATGGCCTTCACCTTTCATAATTTTACCAACATTCTATTCATGATGATATAGGCATTTTCAAAGCCAACAGATATATGCTTTTAAAAAATAGTTCACCTCTTTTCCTTCTGAAGCAGCACCGTAACTTAATTGGAGGGGGATACAATCCAGGATACAATCCAGTCCGTACCAGTTGGCCACTATGGTTCCAAGCTTGAGTATAACTACAAAGTATCTTTTTTAATCCCAAGACATTTAATAAAAAGAAATAATGTTAATGTAGTTAGAGCAGATTACTAGATGAAATACATGACAGATAAGGAATTGCTATAAGCACTATGTTTCACTCAGGTCATTTTAAAACCACCATAATAACTATGAAATCATTGCATTGGGCCAGGCGGAGTGGCTCATGCCTGTAATGCCAGCACTTTGGGAGGCTGAGGCGGTGGATCATCTGAGGTCAGGAGTTCGAGACTAGCCTGGACAACCTGGTGAAATCCCGTCTTTACTAAACAAAAAATTAGCCGAGTGTGGTGGCACAAGCCTATAATCTCAGCTACCCAGGAGGCTGAGGTAGGAGAATTGTTTGAACCCAGGAGGTGGAGGTTGCAGTGAGCTGAGATGCACTCCAGCCTGGGCAGCAAGAGTGAAATTCTGTCTCAAAAAAAAAAAAAAAATTATTGCATTGAATTGTATGCTCCAAAATTTTCGTCATTCTCAACAATAAATGGAAATAAGCGATTATAAGAACACAATTCAATATTGCTTAAAAACATTCCAGTAATTTCACTGGAAAAATATTTATGTCATAGAATATGAGCTTAATGATAAGAAATTTGTTTGCTCTGTTCAGTACTGAATACTCAATTCCAATCACTGGGCCTGGTATGTGAAAAGAGTTTCTTGGTTTAAAAAAATTATTTAAGTTGGGCTGGGCGCAGTGGCTCACGCCTGTAATCCCAGCACTTTGGGAGGCCGAGGCAGGTGGATCACGAGGTCAGGAGATCGAGACCATCCTAGCTAACAAGGTGAAACCCCGTCTTTACTAAAAATACAAAAAATTAGCTGGGCATGATGGCGGGTGCCTGTAGTCCCAGCTACTCAGGAGGCTAAGGCAGGAGAATGGTGTGAACTCGGGAGGTGGAACTTGCAGTGAGCCAAGATTGCACCACTGCACTCTAACCTAGGTTACAGAGCAAGATTCCCTCTCTCTCTCTCACACACACACACACACACACACACACACACAAATTAAGTTGTCAATGAGTGAGGGAAAAAATAAGACAAATTTTATGTTATACTACATACAATAGCAATAGAAATTGTGGAACAGATTTTACTTTTTAAATGCCGATTTTACTTATAATCTATACATAAAAGGAAAATGGAATTAGGTTTTTATTAACTAGAAGCTGTTATGAGAATGTCGACAGAATTCTTCTGAGTATTTTCAAGTGCAAAGTTATGTACATTTAAGAAACAACTTAGATATACAAATAAAAAATTTGTTGTGCAATAAAATTAGAGTGCAAGACAAACCATAATCTGTACGAAGAATTAAAAACCTAAATATGTCAATGGATCGTAAGTATCAAGTGACAACAAATGAATAGATTAATTTTTACAGGGCTCATGACTTTTGCTTATTACCTTTAAATGACTTAAAAGAAAAAATAACTCTTTTGGCAGGTTAATATTTGGATTTTATTGATCGTATCACTTATGCCATGGGTCTCCAAAAATGTTCTGGGCTGCATGTACGTTCTGCATATGAATCTTGGAAGAATACTCATTTACTGTCAATAGTAGTTGTTTAAAGGAAAATGACATTTTATGCAGAATTTTCTTCTTTTCCCTTAGCACGCTGTGTTAGTTTCTTAAGGCTAGGAACAGAACAAATGACCACAAACCACGGCGCTTAAGATGATACAAATTTATTTTTTCACAGTTCATGAGGCCAGAAATTCAAAAGGGAGGTATGAGTATGATTGATTTCTTTGGGAGGCTTTCAGGTAAAATCTCCTTCTTAGCTTCTGGTGGTTTCCAGCTCTCCCTGGCGTTCCGTGACCGCAGGCAGCGTAACTCCAGACTCTGACTCCCTTGTCTCATGGCCATACTCACTGTAGGTCTCTGTATGTTCCCACCACCTTCCTGTAAGGACACAGCCATTGGCTTTACGGGCCACCCTAATGCATTGTGACCTCGTCTTCACCAAGTGTTATCTGCAGAGACACTTTTTCCCAAATAGCTCAACATTCTTGGGTTCCAGGTGGATATGACTTTCTGCGGGACACTACCCAACATGGGAGATATGCATGTATTTTTAGAAAATAATGAGTACTGCCTCTGCTATAAAGCCCCTTTTCTTTTCATTAGTGTTGATTATTACAAAATAGCATGGACAGTTGACAGAGCTCTCTAAGTACTTCTGAATGGCCACAGCGTGGGAAACAAATGGGGGAGTGGGAAGAAGTAAGATTTGATAAATAGTTCAGGGCAAGATGATAGAAGGGCATGTACATCATGCTGAAAAAAAAAGTGATTGCTGTTTTGTGACAAGGAAGAACAACAAAAATTTAGAAATATTTATTAGGTGTCTATTGTGTCAATAATGTACAAAAACATTCTGGGGATAATGAGCTGAAAAAGGTATATGGCTTCATGTGTATCACAGTGCAACAAGAAACTAATCCCTGAGACAGAAACAATTGGTAAAGGAGCACATTGGGGTTTGTCAAGTTTGAAGTTGGAAAAAAATTAAGTAGAAAACAGGTCTAGTCAAGCTGAAATGTTCCTAGTGTAAACAAAATAATAGGATGAAAATCTCCTGATATCTCAACGGGAAAGCATGGAGATGACAGGAAATAGGATTCAGAGCTTTGCAACATTGTAAAGTGTTATCAGCGTTAGGAATGTTCTGAGAAGAAAAACATAGGAAAATAAAAAGAGAAAAGTCGTTGGAGTTCTAACTTGGTGTTGAGTAAGGAGATGGAGGAAGAAAAGAATATACCGACTCGAAGAGCAAAAGTTGAAAATACAGAACTTATGAGAACATTTTAACTGAGGAATGTTGAGTGAAACAATAGAGCTCTCCCCACATCTCCCTCTCTCGGTGGTCCTCTTTCCCACTATCTTCTTCCCCTCGCCCTCTCCCCACAGTAGATTTTCTTTTTTATTTTGAGATAAATAAAACTCCAGGCTGGAGTGCAATGGTGCAGCCTCAGCTCATTGCAACTTCCACCTCCCGAGTTCAAGCGATTCTCCTGCCTCAGCCTCTGGAGTAGCTGGGATTACAGACGGTCGCCATCACACCCGGCTAATTTTTGTATTTTTAGTAGAGACTGTGTTTCAGCATGTTGGGCAGGTAGGTCTCGAACTCCTGACCTTGTGATCCGTCTGCCTCAGCCTCCCAAAGTGCTGGGATTACAGGCATGAGCCACCGCGCCCTGCTGTGTCCTCACTGTTTTCTTTCCCACCCTCCTTTCTCCTTCTCCGACTTTCCAAGGTTCTTTCCCACCCTCTCCGTCCCCTCCTCCCCCTCTCCCCGCAGTCTTCTGGGCCCCACTGACTTCCAGCCGCAGCCAAGACCGTTCAGTTCTGAGGTAGCGGTGGGGGCGGGGGCAGCCGCGGTGGCACAGGCAGCGACTCTCCGGGGTCTCCAGTCGGCTGCTGGGGCGGAGAGAGCTCAGGGGCGGAGCTCAGGGGTCTACCTGGGCGCAGAGACACACCGGGCGCTGAGACGCACCGGGCGCTGGGACACAGGCGCGCGCATGCGTGGAGGGCTTCTAAGTGAAAGGCAGTGGGAGAGCGCGGAGAAGGGAGTGGGCGAGAAGACGATCGGGGGAGAAGGCGGTGGGAGAGGAAGAGGGGAGAAGAGGGTGCGGGGAGAGAAAAGCGCGGCAGGAAGTCGCTGCTGGGAGAAGGTGGGGAGACGGAAACGGGAAGAAAATGGTGGGGAGGGGAAGAAAACGGTGGCGAGTAAGAGGCTGGGAAACAAGACGATGGCGAGAGGGAGAGTGGGAAGATTATGACAGACGTTGCTGCGAGACGGTGGGAGGACACGGGAAGAAAACGCTGTGGGGGAAGAAAACGGGTGGGTAGAAAACGGTTGTGGGAAAGGCGCGGGGAGAAGACGGTGAAGGGAGAAGACGGCGCGGGGAGAAGACAGTGGGGAGAGAAAAGCGCGGCAGGAAGACGCTGCTGCGAGAAGAAGGTGGGGAGATGGAGGCCACAAGAAGATGGTGGAGAATAAGAGGCTGGGAAAGAAGAAGATGGGGAGAGGAGAAGAGGGTGGTGGCAAGACCGCGGCAGACAGACGCTGCTGCGAGGAGGTGGGAAGACATGGGAAGAAAACGGTTGGGGGTAATAGGCCGGGAGAAGACGGTGAGGAGAGCGGGGGGAGGGGAGAAGAGGGAGCGGCGGGAAGACGCTGCTGCGGGAATAGGCGGGAAGGTGGAGAAAGAGGGGAAGCGAGCGGGTGGAGAGGAGGGTGGGGGAGGCCGTGGGGAGAGGGAGATGGGAGGAAAAGGTGCCGCCACAGGAACCGGTGCTGCGAGGAGGCGGCGAGACTGAGGGGAAGAAAACGGTGGGGAAGAGAAAAAAAAACTGCGGGGAGAAGAAGGTGCGGGAAGAAGACGGTGGGGAGAGGGCAGCAGAGGATGCGGGAAGACCGCGGTGGGGAAGGAGGGAGAGGGGAAAAAAAGGTGGGAAGAAGACGTTGGGGAAGGGAAAGGTGGGAAAGGAGAAGGGTCGGGAAGGAGAGGGGAGGGAAAGGGCAGAAGGTGGGGAAGAAGACGGTTGGAAAGGGGAGAGGGAGAGGGGAAGAAAAGGGTGGGGAGGGAGAAGGGAAGAGGACAGGATGAGGGGAAGAAGAAGGGAGGGGAAAGTGGCGAAGATGACGCTGGGGAAAGAGACGGAGAGGGGAAAAAGATCGGTGGGAGAGAAGAGGATGAAGCAGGGAACGAGGTGGGGAGAGGGGAAGAAAAAGGCAGAAAGACGGGCTGAGAGAGAAGACAGTGCTGGGAGAAGAGGGGAGGGCGCGGGGAGGGAGAAGGGAAGCGGGGAAAGACGGTGGGAGAAGGTGGTGGGAGAGAAGGCGGCAGTGGGGGAGAAGAGTTGGGGGAAAAAGAATAGTGATACTTAACGTTTAAACGTCGTCGTCTTGGAGCTGAAGAATCAAATGTTGCTTTAGAGTCCCGGCCTAACTTTGTTCAATAAATTCCCACTTCCAAATATTTTGTGATTGCAGTGTGGGTCGTTTTTGGTACTTAGATCCAGAGCAGTCTCGGATTGTTAGTGACGGTGCTATCAAATTGCATGCTGTTCACCAGCTATAAATGAAAAGATCACATTTCCTTGAAGCGCACTTTAATATGTAATTCAAACACTTTTCTGAGAGACTCATTGGGGAAAAAATAGAGGTGTGTACCTTTGGCATTGAACATGGAGTCTCTGATTTTAGATTGCATTTGTTTCCCCAAATCTTTAAGAATGTGGCAGAAACGTGATTGAATACGGCATTCATTTTGTAGGGCAGTGCATGTTATTTTAATAAAGATGGGGTAAACTGATGCCTATAAGAAAATTAATTCAATTTAATTAATTCACTCATACAAATTTAGATTTCCTTAATATAAAAAACCCCAAAACAGTTAAATTGCCTTAGTCTTTTACCATAACTTCATGCTTAGAGTCAAGAGAATTTGTAAATGCAATCCTGTAATGCTGGTGTTGCGTTATGCCTATATGAAATACGTTTTAAACCTAAATGTTGCTTTTTTTTAAGTTATAGAACTTCATAGAAGTTTATGTGTTTTAATACTTACAGGTGAACTTGACAAATTATTAATTGGTGAATGATAACTATTATTGCTTGTAAAATAAGCAGTTAAATGTAATGATGTAAATACATTTTATATTACGGTATAGTTTTTTAAAAATATTTTCTTCTTTTGTATTCTAGTTTAAAATCCTGGAATACTTACTGATATCTTATTTCCCCATGAAAAGGCTTCAGCTAACTATATTGTATTTCCAAGCAAATGTTTGTACCGGAACATCAACTGTAGAAATTAAGCAAAATCTGTATTTTAGGACAGTTGCAGTGGCTCGCACCTGTAATCCTAGCACTTTGGGAGGCCGGGGTGGGCAGATCACTTGAGGTCAGGAGTTCGAGACCAGCCTGGCTAACATAATGAAACCCCATCTCTACTAAAAATACAAAAAAAATTAGCCGGGCGTGGTGGCGTGTGCCCATAATCCCAGCTACTCGGGAGGCTGAGTCGGCAAAATAGCTTGAAGCCAGGAGTCGGATGTTGGGAGTGGCCGAGAAGGTACCATTGCACTCCAGCCTGGGAGAAAAGGGTGAAGCTCTGTCTCAAAAATAAATACATAAATAGCCAGGTGTGGTGGTGCACACCTGTAATCCCAGCTACTTGGCTGAAAGGCTGAGGCGGGAGAACCACTTGAACCTGGGAGGTGGATGTTGCAGTGACTCAAGAACGTGCCATTGCTCCAGGCTGGGCACAAGAGCGAAACTTCGTCTCCAAAAACCAAGCCAAAACAAAACAAAATAAAAAAGAAAATGTATATAAACATATTTTCAGGGATCCGTGCAAATTAATTAATTAATTTATTTATTTATTTATTTATTTATTGAGACAGTCTAGTAGCTCTGTTGCTAGGCTGGAGTGCAGTGGCACAATCTAGACTCACTGCAATCTCCACCTCCAGGGTTCAAGAGATTCTCCTGGGATTATAGGCACGTGTCGCCATGCCCAGCTAATTTTTTTTTTTTTTTTTTTTTGGAGATGGAGTCTCGCTCTGTCGCCCAGGCTGGAATGCACTGGCACAATCTCGGCTCACTGCAAGCTCAGCCTCCCGGGTTCATGCCATTCTCTTGCCTCAGCCTCCTGAATAGCTGGGACTACAGGTGCCTGCCACCACACCCTACTAAAGTTTTTGTATTTTTAATAGAGACGGGGTTTCACCATGTTGGCCAGGATGGTCTCGATCTCCTGACCTCAGGATTCGCTCACCTGGGAATCCCAAAGTGCTGGGATTACAGGCGTCAGCCACCGCACCAGGCCAAGACTACTCTTTAATTCCCAAGGCCACTCACTGTGGTTTGAGCATGTGCCACAGCCTATGCTCGGGTTGATGCCCCACATTCCCATGGTTATCCAAAAGAGGCCCTGAGACTCACAGTGGCCATTGTTAATACTCTGAGGTTGCAGCAGCAGTGACAACTGAAAATCTACAAGCATCAGAAGAAAGAGGTGTTGCAGAGAGGAACCACAACCATCACAAACCTGGAGTGCTTGGTGGACCCCCTGGATCCCATTGGCTGCATGTTTCTCACTTTGACTGAGGCCTGCCTCCTGAATGATGACGGCTATCTAAATATGAATGAAAGCAGACCCCCTGTGTACCAACATGTACCTGTGGCTATAGGCTCCCCAAACAGCAGTGAGTCCTACTTGTCATTGGCCCTGGAAGCTGCATCCATGGGCCTGGGTCACAGAGGGTAATGCCTGAAGGCTCCTACCCACAGTACAAGGTGTGTGGTAATGAGGAGCAGCTCCTCAGCCAACTCCAAGAGCTGCAGCTGGGTGAAGACTTAGTGCAAACTCTCCAAAAATAGGGCATCTTGCTGCTGGAAGGTGGCCCTTTCAGCACTCTGGGAAGTCATCCAGCGAGAGAGCGTTTCCATGCATACTTCTGCCAGTATTTGTTCTCAGCTCTGCTGTCTCATGATCCAGACCTGGCCTATAAATTAGCCTTACGTGTCATAAGGTTACCTGTTTTAGAAAACTCAGGTTGTGCAGGCGACACATCCCTCCCTCACCATGTGGTGTCTCTGGTGCCCAGCCGTTATCCTCCCTGGTTCCTGCTTGGACACTTGGAATCACAGCAGTGGGAACTGGCCTCCACCATGCTGACTGCTGCCAAAGGAGACACTTTGAGGCTCTGAACAATTCTGGAAGCAATGCAGAGGCACATTTGTTCTTTCCCCCTCATCTTCAAACTGGCCAAAAATGCGTTCAAGATTGCTACTCCCATTAACAGTAGTACTGACAGCACCCTGCTCAACGTGGCCCTGAAACCTGGGCTACAGGTGATGCGGATGACCTTATCAACCCTTAACTGGAGACCCCGAGGGATAGTACGATGGTTGGTGATCTGTGGTACAGAAGTGGGTAACTCCCACCTCCCTCTATGCCCAGGGGAAAGGAGTTTCTATGCCCTACTCTTGGGACAGGACAATGAATCCATGGAGCTCTCATATTCCTGTTCCTGATGGCTTAAGAAAGGATGGGGCTGATGGTGGGAGAAGATGGCCTCTGTTCAGCCAGCCCAAGTTCTGTCCTCACTGCTTAAAACAACTGTATGCTGACGTCAGCAGCACTTTGACCCTTGCATCAGAGACATGCCTAAGAGAATGAATTTTCAGCTGCCAATACTCAAGTGTGCCCCTGGGAGGAAGTGGGCCTGGTGGTTTGGTCCCTGTCTCTGTCCATGCTTGTGAGAAACCCCAGACAGCTTGGAGGCTCAGGATGCTTTCTTTTTTTTGGGTGGCGGAGGGGGATGGAGTCTCATTCTGTCACCCAGGCTGGAGTCCAGTGGCTCAATCTCGGCTCACTGCAAGCTCCACCTCCCGGGTTGATGCCATTCTCCTGCCTCAGCCTCCTGAGTAGCTGGGACTACAGGCGGCTGCCACCACCCCCAGCTATTTTTTTCGTATTTTTAGTAGAAATAGGGTTTCATCGTGTTAGCCAGGATGGTCTCGATCTCCTGACCTCGTGATCTGCCCGCCTCGGCCTCCCAAAGTTCTGGGATTATAGGTGTGAGCCACTACGCCTGACCGGCTCAGGACCCTTTCTAAAGCCCAAAGACCAGCACAAGACTCAACCCTGAGAGGCCCCACTTCACCTAGAACCCCTGGCAGATCCGCCATCCTGCCCTCGGGGCAAGCAAACCCCAGGCTCTACTGCTCCATCCTTGTGAGGGGCTAAGAGCACCTGCAGAAACCTTCAACCTTCTGGCCTGGGGATGGAAGGGATAGGAAGAGAGCCCAAGCAGGGTCTAGCTGTCTGGGATGCTTTCCTAGCCCTGGTTTGCCTCAGATCATGTCAAGGTTGCTGAGGAGGAAGGATAACCCATCTCCGCAGGCCAAGTTCAAACCTCACACGGTAATCTGGGCAGACCTGAATCAGGACCCAGGTTGCCACGGCTGAGCTCAGGTTCTCCCTCACAGGTGTGTGGGCCCCAGTGAGCATCTTGCAGAGCTGGGACACACTCTTCACCCCTACTGAGGCTACTAATATTGTAGCTGCCACAGCCTTATCCCACACCACTATCCTGCGCCTCAGTCTTGATTATCCACAGCGGGAGGAACTGGCTAGCTGTGCTTGCACACTGGCCTTGCAGTGTGCTATGAAGCATCCACAGAGCTGTGCCCTGTCATCAGCCCTTACACTCTGAGAAAGACCACATTGCCTTTGAGGCCGCCTGCCAGATTGCCACTGAGGCTGCTGCCGGTGGCACGGCCCATTCCCAGCTGTTCCCCGTTGCCTACTATGCGCAGCTCCGTGGCTGCACGCTCCGTGCCTTCAAGCTGGCCTCATTGGCCATGAACCATCTTAACCTGGCTCTTAACCAGGATACCCATGCAGCCATCAATGACGTGCTCTGAGTTTGTGCCCTCAGCCACTCTCTGGGCAAGGATGAGCTGGCAGTGCTCATCCCCCTGGTGGTGAAGAGTGTGCACATTGCCGTGATGCTTTCAGACATCCTGTGTGCGACACTGCACGGTGACTGCACCCGAGGCTGCCGCAGCTCTGAAAAGCTCATCTCTACTGACAGAGCTCCATTGTGCCAGTTGCTGATACCACCATGAATGCTTACATCAACACCCACATCAGCCTGACACACATCAGCCATTGCCAGTATGGAGTTCACTGAGTTTCTAAGCAAGGCTTGGGAGACCTTCCTGCTGCCCCAGGATGGCTTCCTGCAATTTGCCCAGTTCATTAGCAACCACAAACAGATCTACAAAGGCAAGGAAAAGCTGATGCAGCTGGTTCGAGAGCCCTTTGGCTGAGAAAGCAGATAGCTCACTGGCCCAGCAGCCTGGGTCCCCAAGTAGTATCAGGTCAGGCCAAAAACACTGAAACATTTGTCCACCCTGAGAGGACTCTGAGCACCTGTGGCTGAGGCCAAAGGACCACAGGGCTAATGATGGGGAGAGTCCAACTCTAATGGATATGCATACCTTGGCAAACTTGTCACTACAGCCCACTGTTCACGGAGAAGCTGGGCCCTGCAGGTCGACCAGAAAGCCCAAGATATGCCACCTTCTGCCCCTGTGTCCTGCATGTCCTGGGCATTGGCGCTGTCTCCCTTAGCAAACACAGAACACTGTTCCATCTCAGAGAT